GAAAATGCAAGAGTGGAGTTAAAGGCCAGGAGTTCTGTACCTCCTGTGGTGGTCACCAGGAGTCAGTGCACCCAACTTTTTTCCTCCCAGTGGTACATTCAGAGATTAGAAATCAATACAAATGGATGTGGAAGAACCGTGAATTCTCATAGCTCTTTCAAAGTCTTAGAAAATCACCCCTGGTATTAATTACTTAAAATGGGAAGATTTTTAGGCTGATTCCTCAATTCAAAGGGGCTGGCTCTGTTTAAGTGTGGACTCTGTGTGTGTGTGTGTGTGTGTGTGTGTGCATGTGCATGTGTGCATGTGCATGATTGATGTATGTGCTGCCAAGTCCCATGATTTAAGGGGAGAATTATAAGGAAGAGCTCTGGTTTGAAGTTACAGCTGAGTTCCAATCCTTACTTGAGTACTATGAATTATATTACCTTGGACAAGTCATTTCTCTTCATTCTCCTGATTTCTCGTCTTTGAATGAAGGCCTTGGATAAATAAGTCACTGGTTTCCTTCAGTCCTGAAATTTCATGACTGTGCATTAGAGAGTTAAGCCAGACTGTCCTAGGTAGTGGATGCTGCTGGGCACAGTTTTCACACTTGATAGTCTCATCCTCCAACCCAACTTGCAACGACAGATAAGAATAATTCTTCCAACTCCTGAACCACCATGTCTTCTAACTTGTTCAGGTGCAGGAGGCAGGTAGTTATTTGGGTGGCCAACTCTCACTAGGTGCCCTGACTGTCCTTCACCTTCACATTCTGCAGGCTGCCTGATTTCCAGAATAGGAACATAAAGCTGTTTGGTAGCTTCATTCTTTGGAGATGGGAATCTTGTGGTACAGGTTTTGCTGCCTGTGAAACAACAACTTTTAAATATTCACTGGCCAAACTACATCTTTGAGCAACTCATTAATACCTAGCAGTTTAAATGACCCTTGCTAATGATAAATGGAGGGGAAATTGCCTGAAAGTTCTCTAAGTGCAGAGCTGAAAATGTCATTTGCTTCTTATTATGTGGACAGTATAACTACAAATAAGATCATTGTTTATATTCTTCTTTTGTGTGTGTTTAAGGAATGTCCCAGGATTCAAGGAATCCTGTGATATAAAATAACAAAAGGAAAGGAAGCAAGAGCATAACAAATCAATTGCTCTTACGAACTTTGGGGTTTAGTATATTTTTGAAGCTTATATATTCCAGAACAAAATGATCAGGGGCCGTGACTGATGCTGTTGGGAAGAATAGAATACGATGAAGACCTTGTCTCATGTAAAGGATCAAGCTGTCTTTACATTTTCTGAGGTCTGACATGGGGAGGCTTTAAATATATTCAGAAATATTTTTCCATTACTTACTTTTTGAACTAGATGTGGGGATCCCAGACCATGGTATGTGGAGCCATGGGAAACCTAGACCATCATGGTATGTCTATTGGGTTTTTCTACTAGGATCTAAGACTGAGCTCATTCAGTGTTCTGAATTGAACTCTTTGCAACAAGTTGAAAAGATTTTCTTAAGACAAAGCTAAACAAGTAACTGCACAAAGGACATGGTCAGGGCCTGGCTTTCTTTCACATTGCCCCTTTCCTTGATAATTTTCTTGCCATTCTTTCTTTTCCTCATGTCTCTTCCTTCCTATCCTAGTGCATTTCTTTTATTTGTTACTTCTTTTTTCTCTTGTCTCTTTTCTTTCTTTTTTTCCTTTTCCACTCCTATTCCCAAATAGGATTTCATGGACAATGTATGACTCTAGTGGTTGCCTTTAGATCTAAGTAGTCTCTAGGGTTTGTATCAGGGACAGACTACATGGAGAGGAGCTGCACTGCAGGTTATAACGGAGGGAGGGTGACAGAGGGATGAAGACGGGAGATACGAGGTGTAAAGATGCCATATGTATCCTGACCTTGAATACATTGGCTTCATCCCATGAGAGAGGATTTGGGTTGACTCAGGTTGGAGGATGAAGTTGCCTACCCATTCATCCACTTCTTCTGGTACCTGCTTCCACCTTCCTGACTGACAGAACTTGCCTTCCACTATAGAGGCTGATTGTGGCAGAGGCTCATTTTGTGACCTCTGTTGCAACCAGGGCAACAATCTTAGATAATGAATAGAAAGGAAGGCATTCTTATGGCCTTTAATGAGACATTTTATTCCCTTTGAAAAGAGAGATGCACAGAAGAAAAGACATCTCTTGTTTCTGGATTTGGTCATGTCTGCTTGGGGCATCTGGAACTGCTATAGCAACCTACTATCATGAGGGAAGATGTGGCTGAAGACTGCAAAGATGGCAGAGCAAAAAGATGGAAAAGGTCCTGGGTCTTTGAGATCATCGAGCTGCCAATCCAAGCCTGGAGCATTTTATGTAACTGACCTTATTGTTTAGGCTTTTTTTTTTTTTTTTTTTTTTTTTTTTTTTTTTAAGATTTCTCCTTTTTGCCACTGAAAGCACCTTGATGAGGGCCAGCGAAAATAACCTTATAGTTGAGCTTTATTTTGTGTGGACATTTATTTAGTCTCTTTAATGGATTCAGTTATAATTTAAACAACACATCTATATATTAGTCTTCTTTCTTCAATGTCCCTTAGTATGCAATAGCTGAAAGTTTATTCTCTGCTTATGCCTCTACAAACTTTCGTAATAAAATACTTTATGAACCTAAAGGTGTGGCCATCAGTTTCGATGATCTTTTTCAGATTTTTCTAATGCCATGTGATACTGACTAAATAAGGCAGAGTGCTGCCTGTGGTAAGAGTTGCGGTGTCTTGGTGGTGCAAGTGCAGGGGACTTTTCCTCTTACTCTCTTCCTCCTTCCATTTACTCTTCCAGAAACAAAGTATGAAGGGTTCCCCATGATCAGCACATGAAGCCTTGTAGTGAAATACTACTCTCCAGTGCCCTCCATTCCATCCCCTTCACCAAAACTACCGCATATGTATGCGACAAGGTAAAAACTGTTGATCAACTTGTGTACCCAGTTCGTCTCTTCTCTCTGTCCCATTCACTCTGGACTTACCCATTCAGTCGCCTTGCTCCAACCCTGCCAAGGAGGATCCTACCCTGTCAGATTTTCTTGGGATTTAGTCAAAGGAGTATATGGAGGAAAGTGCAGGGAGAACGGAGACAAAATGAGAGGCTTTTCAGGATGGGGCTGAAGGAATTTATGATGGGTGAAAGTTTGAGGAAATAGATATGGGAGCAGATCCAGTGTGTGGTCAGGGATAGGAGACAAAGATTTCATTTTGTACCAGGATGGCCAAATGAAATGTTCACAGCCAATATCCATCCTGAGAGATCAGTACTTGTTATTGATATTTTCAGTATTACACATGGAGATATGGGTACTTTAAGGAATCTCTGGGAGCTATTGTACTCTTCATGGTTTTTGAGATTTGCAATACAAACTTAAAAAATAGAAAAAACTAACTTGTATTAATCTGAAACTTCTTGCGTGGGTGTGTGTGTTTTCCCTCTGGGTCACCACTATGGGACTGAATTGCCACTCCAGGAGGTACAACTTTAGGAGTGTTACCTGTATAAACACCTTTAGGGGGAAGAGTGATTGATGTACTGGATTTCAATAGCTTTTATTATAACACAGAAAGTGTAGGATGTTTTTCTTTCTCTTCAGATTTGTCTAAAGGATTTAGAAGCACTGAATTTAGCTACCCATAAATATATTTGCTCATTTGAGAAAAGTCTCATCTCTTACCAGGAAGTATTACAGTGATGGAAAAAATGTCTTCTGAGTGTCTCTTGCTGTATATTTGTCTCTGAACACATTCTTGCCTCTCAGAGCCGTGATTTCTTAAACCGATGTGTCATCAGCAGCTATGTTGTAGAATAGTTAATACTCTATCGTATTTTTAATTTAGCTGCAACTTGCTTTTGAGTTCAAATTCAGAAATACATTGCCTCTGGTCAAAAATAAGGAAGATGAATGACTGCAGATGGAGCTGGGACAGCCCAGCAGTGCAGCAAATGAGTGTGTGGGGGCTGGGGAGAAAACGCTAGCTGAAAGCCCTTTATTTTTGTATAGTTCTAGATCAGTGCCCTCCAATTGAAAAACACTGCAAACCATAAATGCAAGCCACGTATGCAATTAAAAATTTTCTTGTAGCTACATTAAAAAATGTAAAAATAAATAAGTGAAACTAATTTGTAAATGTATTTGTCCTGATACCTCAAAAACAATATTGTCCTAATATGTAATCAATAAAATAGTTACTGAGCTATTTTACAATTTTTCATATGAAGTATTTGGAATCCCATGTGTATGTTACACTTACAGCACATCTAAATTCAGGCTAGCCACGGTCCAAGTGCCCAATAGCCACATGTGGCTAGCAGCCACTTGTGCCAGACAGTAAAACTCTAGATTATTTACAAGGACAATTATTTTATTTTGCACTTGATGCTCACAGTATATCAAAATGGTGCCAGGTCAGGTGGGAGGAGACGATTGCTTTTTCTTCTGGCTCTGTAAGAACTTCCTCATTAATGCTTTTGGGATCAGCTTTTAAAAAGGTTGCCAAACGGTAAGAGGAGGAAGGACTGGCTTCTGACATTGAAAGAGCAGACTCAGAGCTTTGTGTGCTAGCCAAGGCTCAGAGCTTGGTGGAATTTATAGTTGGTATTTATGACCGAAAATATCCAGATGGGGTCATTTATAAAATAGATGTGGGTAGTATGGTTATTTATCAAGAGCAATATGCTATAATGGAATGAGTTCTAGACTGAGGTTCAGGAGAAGGCACTAGACCAGGCACAGGTCTGGGAGGAGAGAAGTGAACCAACATAACACCAACTGTAACAACCAACTGTAACACCCCAGTTACAGCACTAGGCACTTCACAACCATTTTCTTATCTACTTCTTACAGTAAGCTCAAAAGTTAGCTATATAACCAGCTCTAGGTTACAGAAATGGCAGCTGAGCCTAGTGAGGTCAGGTCCTGGCTTATTGTGGAGTCCTAATAAAATCTCAGTGCTGTCTGATTCCAAACTGCTGTGTTCTTAACATTACAATCCATATGCACATCATATAATAGGTGTTAGGGTTCAAGCAGAGAAGCAGAACCAGTGATATATTTGCATGCATGTAAATACATATAGGTGGTAAATATTTGTTACAGGCTTACACAGTTGTGGGGAGCTGGTTAACCTGTCTTTGTAAGGATGTCTCCACAGCTGATGCCAGAGCTAGAAGTCCTCAGGGTGGGTGATCATAAAGGGAAGATCACAGCATGCTGGAAGCAGCAGCACACATAGAATTCCACAAGCACACCCTGAGCCCTGCTTACTTTCTTGTTGCCTCTGACCTTGGTGATGAAAGTGCCCTGCAGAGGTTGGACCCTTTTTCGTGGAGCTTAACAAATATACCTGGCCCAGGATGAGTCTGAGAACCTGAAGGAGGATCCAGGGAAAGGTGGAGCAATTGGAGACCCAGCTGCTGCTTTACAGCAGTAAGCTGAGTCAGCATCAGCAACAGTGTGCTGAGCTACAAAATGGCTGCCGTTTTCCTCTGCCCTCCTGTTTTCCTAGAGTCTTCACTATGGCTCACTCTAACCAGAAACACATGAGGACGGGAATTCTGGGAAATGTATTGTAGCCTGTCCACATTGATGCATAACAAAGGCTTCAAATGGGTGTTCAGTAAATATTTGTTGAATGAATGAATGAATGAATGAATGAATACCATGGTGCTTCTCCTGGAAATTCTCTGGGAGTTGGAATACCTAATCCTGGCTCTGCCTCTTACAAACCAAACAATTTTGAACAAGTAACTTAACTCTGAGTCTTAGTTTCTTCATTTGTAAAACTCCAAGAATAATCCCTGTCCTGCTTATTTAACAGGGATCAGTTGAGATAATCTGAACAAAAGCACTTTGAACATAATGTTCAAAAACAACATATATAAGGATAAAATATGTAATATAGTATTGTATTCTTTAATTATTGTTGTTACTAATAATTCAGCTTCCCAATGTATCACATGGAATTAATAGTTCCTGACCAATTTACCTTAAAGGTATGCCAGGAAGCTTAAATTAGATGAGATATGTAGAAGCACTGTCAGCTATCTGTGGCATACCCTTCAAAGGCAAGACTGAATTATCGTTCAACAGTCAGATACATTTTCACATTGTGTTTTACTTTTGGGCTAAATGAGTTAGAGGGACAAGTATGTAACTGGAACCATTGGTGACTCTGTGAGCTGAAGAGCAGTGGCCATTCCTTGGATGGGAGTTGTGGGCAGTGGATGAGGTTTCTGTCCTATAAATTTGGGCTTGCATTTCATAGCAGCCAAACTTGCTCAGGAGAATGAAGAAATCTCTGCGAAAGTTTTTGGTAAAGATGGCATAGAGGAAGGGGTTGGCACAGGAGTTGATGGGGTAAAAGAGGACCAGCAGGATCTTTGCTTTGGATACAGTGATGAGGGGCACCTTGAGGGAGGCAGAAATGGCAAAGAAAGAAATGGGTGCCATGCAGAGGAAGTCAGTGAAGATGAGCATGGCCATGCGCTTGGCGATCCTGGTGTCACTAGAGGAGGACACGATGTTGGGGTTCCGCACTGTGAGGTAGATGTGAGTATAGCAGCCACAGATGACCACAAAAGCCAGGACATTGAGCACAAGGAGGGACATGACATACAACTGTGACAAAGGGCTGTCAATATCCATGGGCAGGCAGATGCTCACCTTCATGTAACTGCTGATGCCAAAGATGGGAAAGAGGGCAGCTGCAAAAGCAAAAATCCAGCCCATCACCATGACACTGGCAGCATGGCGGAGCTGCACCTTGCAGTCCAGCTGCATGGCATGGGTGATGGTATGCCATCTTTCCAAGGTGATAGCTGTCAGAGTGTAGACTGACAGCTCACTGGCAAACACAGTGAAAAAGCCAGCAGCATCACAGCCTGCCCCAGTTTGCCAGTCAATGGCATAGTTGTGATACTGGCTTTTGGTGTGGATATCAACTGATGCAATGAGCAGCAGGTAGATTCCAATGCAGAGATCAGCAAAGGCCAGGTTGCACATAAGGAACCTGGGGACTGTGAGTTTATATTGGCTGGTAGTTAGGATCACCAGCACTATGATGTTCCCAGTGATGGCCAGGATGCTGATAAACCATATCAGGACTCTGAGGATGTTGTACCCCATGATATCTTCACATGGGTTGAATGCATCTGGCGTAGGGGAACAGGTCACGTCAACCACTTCATTGCATAAGTCATAGTCAAACTCACTGTACATCATGTCAAATCCTCTGCTGTAACCGGGCTCATTGTCTTCTGCCAGAGAGGCTCTCTGACCCCTAGCCTGAGTCATATAATCAACTTCTTGCCTTAAAATAGATTTGTTGCAAATTGGATGAAGCTCAGAGCTAGAAAAATACAAAAAGAAATAGAATCAACATCTCAGATCCAGAATAGCAAATACATCACTGTCTTTGTGCAGGGTAGAAATGATGGGTTTCTTCCCGAGATTTTTTTTTTCTTCTCACATCATATCTGCCCTTGAGGCTAAGCTCAAGGATTAATGCTGCTTACTGTAAATGAATATAACAACTTGTATATATATTACTAGAGTTGGATGGCCCACTGGGGAAACCATCTTGCCACAACCTGAATGTGGGGAGGAAGGCGCCTGAGACTAAGCCTTGCTGTTAAGTGAAAATAATTTACAGACCTGGTATCAACTCTACCCTTTTCCTTCTCCCATCTTGATCCAGCTATCTCTTAATATGCCTCAGTAGGAGATATTCCTATTCCTCTACTCTCAAATCACTGGAAGATCCAGACTGTTCTCTCACTCAAATGAGAACTTATTTGCTTCTCTTATCTACATAAATTAGGGGATCAAAATCTAGTTAGTTCCCAACCAGCACCTGTTCCCTGGCTCTTTGGTTCTCAGGCTATTAGGAGGCCAGCTAATTTGCCTGAAATGCTACCAGGGTCTTTCCTGTTCTTTATTATCTCACTTTCTGGGGGCCACAATAGACCTCAGACATGTGTTTGTCTGCAAGGTAAGCCTGGCTCTCTCATATTAGTTTCCTAGTGAGTGCCGCAAAGAGCAAGTGCAAGTTGCAAAAGGACCTAATTTATTCTAAGAATGTAACTCATCCTCGGGGCAGCCTAGCTCTCCTTGGGCTCACTTTGCTGTCTTGGTTTTCCCTTTAAACACAAATGTACAAGGGGCCTTGTGAACAGGATAGAGGTACTTACAGAGGGATTTGAATGAAATCCAGTTGATAAATATTCAATCCATGAGTATACCCATAAATATTCTACCCCAGAGTAGTCTATCAATACTCTGGATGTAGAGACATGGAAGGTAATATTTCAGTTTGGAAGTAAAGGCTTATGGAATGGGAATAACCCTTACATTGGGACATTTTTGGATGCAAAAAAAAAAAAAAAAAATCACACATACACATGCATACCTTTCCCTCCTTCCCCAAGGGGCAAATTCACATCTATATTAAGTTGACTGTATTTTTTTTAAACCTTGGCATAACCTCAGATATAAGTGGGGAAGTGAATATTAAAACCCTCAGAAGGAGGAAAGAAGTGGCTAGGGGAGTGGAGGAGGTAAAGACTCCATTTGATGCTAAAGGATGAGTCTCACCAGGTGTTCCAAGCTACTATACATGGACTGAACCTTTCCTCATCTCTCCCCGTCCTCTCTTCTCTCACCCCTGGGAAGTGAATTGAATTGCCAGGAAGTCATTTTCCCTTGGCCTAAGGGATTCCTTTTGTTTGTTTAAGGCTAAATGATGAACATATACAGAATTGAAAGTCAATGGAAACAGAGCCCAGAAAATGTTTTTATTTAGTCAGTGGTCTTCCAAGGAAGGTGAGGCGAGCTCCATAATGGGCATAGAGGGCATAAGAGGGTTATCTTGTGGTCCTTAGTCTAATTCCCGACTCTTAAACCCTGTTACTGAACTAGCTGCAGCCTGATTCCAGGAAGAGAAAGTAAGTAACCTGGTACTTGCTGACTGCAGTGTGGTTCATTGGATTGAGATCTTACTTAACTCTCTAGAAACAGCCTTCACTTCCTGGGACTTATGGTAGGCGTCTGTGAAGATTCTTATTGTTGTTGCTGCTGTCCACATATTTTAAATATTGTGCTTCCCTTTTCTGAAACAGAAGTGACCCACTGACATGAAGTAAGGAGAAAAGTAAATAACTTATGTCTCTGAGATAAGAACAGAAACAAAAGCGGAAACTGAGGGACATCAAACCTTGCCTCCGCAGTACTTTGGAAAATCCTAACTATCATAAGGAGTTGGAAATTCAGTTTAGGGTCAGTTTAAAAAGTGGCACTCTTGGACTCTGATCAGTCAGTGAACAGATGCCTGAGCCTGAGCTTTGGAGGCAGGCAGAGCAGATCTGGATTTGTTTGGTCAGTGTAGGTCAAGTTATTTAGTATCTCTGAGCCTCAGTTTCTGTCTCTGTGAGAAAGGAATAATAATGATATTACCTTTGTGGGAATTAAATGAGATAAAGATGCAAAGTATTACAGTGCTTGGCAGTGAATACTCAGCAAATGTCAGCAGTATGAAGACAAATGATGGTGGTTATTTATGGAATTCTTGTTGAGGTGTAGGCCCTGTGTGGGTACTTAGAAGCATATGCCACAGGATTTCAATTTAATATTGAATTGTGAAGAAATGGCCTTCACAACATTGAGTTGTAAAGAAACAACTTGTATTGTTAAATACAATAAAAATTGAAAAATAAAATGAGAGTAAAGTAATGCAAACTGAATACAGAATTATGACAAGGAAATATCTGGTTCAATGACAAATGAAGAGTGTAGTTGATAGGAACTTTTGGGAAGAGCCCAGGAAGCGTCCAGGAGGACCACTGGCCAAAGTTTTAGTCACAGGGGCCTCATGTTTATACTCTGGGCATTATTTCCAAATGAGGATCAGAATAATTTCATCATACAAGTTAAAACTTGAATCCCACTACCAAACCATACCTACTGTGATATACAATGAAATGATACTATCAAAGGAATAAATCTGAACTTATCTTCTGAATAACATAATTATTTTGTGGTGTTTGTGTGTGTGAATTTGATGAATACAAAAATCAAATACCCATTGCTAAAAATAAAAAACGAAAACCATCTAGCACAATTTTTGTTACTCCATTTTGGCACGTTGTGGAAGAACCACATTCCCCTCCTTGCTGTCCCCCAACAGGCCTGGATGGTGAGTTACAGCAGCAACCTAGAGGGATGAGAGCAGAGTGGTCTGGCGGGATCAGAGAAGACCTCATGTCCTGGGACAATATAAGGCAGATGTGGAGATGCCAATTGGGAGAGCCTTGAGGCTATGTCTAGAGGAGTCTGAGTAACATGATGAGATAACAAATTATTGGGGTGTATTGGAACTGGGCCAAATAGCACACTGCAAGTTGCTCTCACAGTGATCTTAACATTTTTTTCTTTTTTTTAAAGACAGGGTCTCATTCTTCTGCCCAGGCTGGAATACAGTGGCACGATGATGGCTCACTGCAGCCTCGACCACCCGGGCTCAAGCAATCCTCCCACTTCAGCCTCCCGAGTAGCTGGGCCTACAGGCATGTGCCACCACACATGGCTAATTTTCTTCATTTTTTTGTAGAGACGAGGTCCCACCACATTACCCAGGTTGGTCTCAAACTCCTGGGCTCAAGGAGTTGTTCCGCCTTGGCCTCCCAAAGTGCTGGGATTACGGGTGTGAGCCACCTCGCCTGGCCAATCTTAATGTTCTTTATTTCTCCTTCGGGGCATTCAGTTCCAGGGACTTGGTGCAAAATTGGTATCTTTCTCACTCTGGATAGAATAATTCTTATGTGGAATACAAAAGAGGCAAGCCACTGCTTCAGCCCAGGACCTTAAGAATTCTGGTTGTCAGGAAGAAATTTCCTGGCTCTTGAGCTCATCTATGAAGAGTGCCCATTCTGGATAATATCCCAGTGATGCATGCAGATTCTGAAAAACAGCTATTTTTCTACAAATCCTTCAGAAGGGTCTGAGTAGAGACTCCCAGCTACTTGGAAAACATTTTAGGGTGCGCACTGTTTTGTTCTTTTTGTTTTGCTTTTGAGCAAGGAATATGTCCACATGGACTGGTCAATGTATGTTAAAGGTTGAGTAATAGAGGAGACTGTGTTAAACAGTGAAATAATATAGGAAAGCTGTATTAGTTCTAGGCTAGCATGTAAGAGTAATGAAAAGACATCATTTGATGAGTGCAACTACATGGTGTGGCTTATGTAGGTGAGCTCAGAGGAGAGTGAGAGCTTTTAGAACTCTGATACTAAGTAAATTCTTACCTCCAATGCATCGTTTAAATGTCTGGGGCGTGCATACAATCTCCAAGGTGACTTTCTGTTTACTCTCTCCAGATCCTTTCTATGATTACCTCACTTTTTTAACCAGTTAGGTACTAGGACTTGTCTCTGTTTAGATCATCCTCTTTAAGTCTGGGCTTCCTTGAACCTGGCTTTCTTTGAAAGCCAAAGTAATGAGATGTCTTAATCTTTCTCCTCCCTGTGAGGTAGTAAGATCCCAAGGTGGATTAGAGAGGCTTGGAGTGATTGGGATGTGCTGCAGATGTGTACATCAGTCTCTGGCATGGCATTTATGCATCTCCCTGCTAAACATGACATGGGTGGGGCATTTATGAAGTGCAGAGTTTGGGACTTGAAAGATTAAATCTATAAAGGTACAAGGGAAAGAGGGAACAGATATTATGCACCAACTCTGAGTCAGGCACTATGCTTAGTATTTTTCATGTTTTCTCATTTAGTACTTGGTATATGTTCTGCCCCATGGGTAGCCCTGTCCTGTGAGCCCATTTTCAAAGAAATGAAAGAGTGCAACCATTCCTCACTCTCCACAAAACTGAATTTTTGACCCAAAATGTGCCAAAGGGCTTGAGACAGGGAACTCTCTGCAAGTAGATTCTCTTCATGTCGCAGATATGTAGAAATTATGGACTAAGTTCTACATTGGGGAAATCCCTGAGCAGGGCTCAAAGGATAGACTCACATTGGCCGTCTCCAGTTTGCAAAGGCACAGCAATGGCTGGGATAGGTGAGGCTGGCTTCCATGAGGGCAACAAGCTTTTCCAGACTAGGAAGCTTTTTTAAGTTGTAAGTCGACCTGGCCCTCAGCTTCTTAAGATTTTCTAAGCCATAGCTAGGCAGGGAGTAGATCCTTGTTCTTGAAATATCTCTATAAAGAGAAAAGGTAAATATAACAGGATTACTATGGACCTAAAATTTTTTGCTCTTGGTTAGCAGGCAAAATAGCAGACACTCTAGTGATATTCTTACGTGGACGAGGAGAGAGACTCCAGTTCCTCCAACACACCTTGGCCAGATCAATATTTGGCTAATGGGACATTTGGTTCTGTAGGAGTCCTGGTCCTTCTGTTCCTGGTAGGAGGAGTTAGATAATAGGCCATTCTGATTCCTGGATATACTTACATCCTGGCTAATTTGGGATGTAAGTGTTGCTGGTGAGTAGAATTAGCCACCTTCCCTTCTACAGTCTATTTGTACCTGCTAATTTGCATGGGACTAAGGGATTGAGACCATTTGTCTGTACCATAAAACTAGCTATAAAAATATTTCTGATGAGCTGGAGTAGAATCTGTGGCCAAATTTCAGGAAAAAGGACAAGAAGGAAATATACTACAAGAGGAAGAAGAGTCTGGCAGGCCGTAGGGGCAGTGTTGGCACAAAGTCCAAGTGGCAGTGCAGAGTGGTGGTTACGAACTTGGCATCTACAGCAGACCTGCCTGCACATCTACCTTGCCCCTCTCCCTATTACATTTATGACCTTGGTCAAGTATGTCACTTCTCCATGTTTCAGTTTCCTCAGCTGTAAAATGGGAAGACAAAAATCCTATCTACTTCAGAGGGTTGTTGTGAAAATTAGATGAGTTAAAGTACATAAAGAATGTCCTGACCAACAGAAACACTTAATGGCTGGCAGCTATTCTTAGTAAATATAACACAGACTGAGAGAGAGAGAGAGACAGTTGTTCTTGTTTGGTAGGAAAGTCTCTGTCCAGTAGACCTCAGCACAAATGACCAGTTTAACCAGGTCCCTGCCCCTGATGGGCTGCAAGTTCCATCCTTTCTGGCAGCAGCACCAGTGATGTGGGTGCTTTTCTGGCAGCACCACTGGTAGTTGCAAACTTCAAAACCAAGACTGGCTGGTGAGAACAAGGAGATTTAAATGGCACCAGCTTGGACCTGTTGGGGCCAACAGCTTGGCCATGAGTGGGTGCTTCTGATGGGGGTAGTAGCAAGTGATGACCAGGATGAGTTCATTTCAGCACCCTTGGGGACCCTTGTATATACTTGAGGAAGAAGAAACTTTTAATGTTGGCATTCCCTGTAAATCAAAGCAGTAGACACTCAGAGTAATGAAACTTGGGGGTGTGAATATATATTTGCTACCCCATATGCTCTCACAATCTGGTGAAAATTACATTTTCAAAGTCTTGTTTTCATTGTATAATTATCTTGCTCAAAAATTTATAATGGCTTCCTATTGTCCAGTGAAACCCATCCCTAACTACTGCCTTATTTGTCACTTCCATTTCCCAAGCACATTTATACTAGTTGTTTGTACTTGATGTCACTATTTCCTCAACTCACAATTAAACTGAGTTTCTCTTTAGCCTCTGGGGAAATAATACTCACTAAGGCCATGTCTTAGTTCTGATCTCCTTGATTTTGTAGTTACATTTCACAGGTAGAATGCTCCTTCTTTCTGAGATACTCTTTCTTCACATCATATTCTCCTCAACATATTTTCCTCTGACATCTCCATTGACTTCTTTCTGATGTTTCTTTTGTTTTACTTGTCTTTTATCTGTTCTTTAAATATTGGCATTTCTCTATACCTAGACCCCTTCTGCCTATACCCAATCTTTTCAGGATCTCTTTTAGTCCCTTAGTTTCAGATACCAGGAAGGTGCTGATGGCTTCCAAAATGTGTATCCCTGTTCAGATCCTACTCCTATTCAGATCTGAACTCCAAGTCCAGATAATCAGTTGTTTTTTGAACTCCACCATTTTGATGACTTGCATCAAAAGTGAACTTACCATCTTTCTTGTAAATATGTTCTTCCTTGTTTTCTCCATCTCAGCAAATGACCCTTCCAATTTCCCCTGTTTTTCATAATGGAAACCTGGGTGCCATCCTTGACTCTTTCATGTGACATCAGTGTCTTGTTCTCTCAAGCCTAACTTTTAAACGTGTTTCAAATCAGCCTACTTCCCTCCTCTTCTGTTACTTTGGTCTAAGTCACCACAATCTCTGCCTAGACAAATGCAGTGGTCTCATAACTGTCCTTATGACCATCTATTGCAATCTTAGTACTGCAGATGTAAAAAATGCCTATGAGATTACCCTTTAATGTCTCCCCATTGCTCTTAGGATGAAGGACAAGTCATTGTATACAGTGTGTTGATCATTTGCCTGTTGTCTATCACATCCATGTCATGCCCTTCTCTATGCTCTTCTCTGTGTTGCAGGAGGGATGATCCCTGCAGTTCTATTTCCCAGGTACCACCTTATCCATCAGCAAATGGCACTAGCAGGAGATTGGAGGGTAGGTAAAAGAGCATATCTCATCCCTCCTCTGTCTCAGGCAGCAATGGAGTCTTCTCCGTGACTCCAGCTCTCGTTGAACAGATCCTTGGAGGATCCAGCTTCTACCAGTTGCCCCGGTTTCTGGACATCAGTAAGATGACTTCCTCATTTGTTCCTCAAGTCCTAGAGTTAGTAGTGGTTACTATTGCCAGTCTCTGGACTGCTGATCCCCTGTTTGATATTCAGGAAGATTTACATTTTCAGAACAATTACCTTTGTGTTACGTGTGTGTGTGTTTGTTTGTGTGTGTATTTTACACATAGTCCCCTCTTTGTTAGCTGTTAATTAGATCAAATCTCCTATATACTTAATGATTTTTTTGCTTTGTTCTGTCACTACTGAGAAAATTATATTAAAATCTCCAACTATGATTTTGGATTCCTATACTTCTAGTTTTGTCAATTTTTGCCCTATATATGTTTGATGACTTCTTAAGGCTCATACAAATCTAGAAATTTTATACCTTCCTGGCAGTTTTCTGTATATCTAGTAATACTTGTCTCCTAACTCCTTGGAAGTTTCTTCTTATTTGCTGGTTCCTCCGTGACCTCCAACTTTAGGAGTGCCCATGAACTCAGTGCCCAGACTTCTTTTCTCCATCTTCACTTACTCTGCAGGTGAGCTCATCCAGTCTTATGACATAAATACAACTTATATGCTGATGGTGCTAAAATTTGTATTTCTAGGTTGCTTCTTTTTCTTGAAATCCAGACTCATATTCAATTGCCTCCTTATCTTCACTTAGTTGTCTAATAGGCAGGTCAGACTGTGGATAATAAAAATGGCCTTCCTGATCTTTTCTGAAAATCTGTTCCACCTTTCCAGTTGTTCATGCAAAAACTTTGATGCCTACCTTGACTCCTCTCTTTCTCTCATACCCTACATCAAAACTCTCAGAAAAACTTCTTGACTTTATATACCACATACATCTGGAATCTAATTACTTCTCACAACACTCATTGCTATCACCACAAGGTAAACATTCTGGTGGTCCAGGGCATCTTGTCTAGCTCTTTCCCTATTATGATTCTTCAGATCTGGGGTCCCTGGAGATCAGAGTCTGGTCCATGAACCCTTGTGTCTGTGATGAATCTTTGCTGTCTGCTGCTGTCTCTGCCTTCTCTCCATTTATACTTTCCATTGTTTTAGAGATTTCCAACTTTTTTATTGGCTGCAGGAGATCCTTCTGGTTCCTCTCTTTTGGCAACCCCTCTTCTAGCCGGTTCTGTTAGTGACACTTGCCCTGTTTTCTGTGACCAAGTTCTTATCTGGCATTTGGGTTCCTCTTTTTTTCTCAAATGTGGAAAGAACAAAGGCTGAGACTCAACTCCCTGTTTTGTCTATAACAATTCAGGCAGGACTCACTCCAAGAAACACGATGAAAAAAACATTTTAGAAGTCCTTTAGGAACAATTTAGACCAAGGCCATCATTGCCTCTCCTGAACATTTTTCACGTTTTTCAAAACGAGCAATACAAAGCAGATTATTTTTCTTAATTATGCCTCCCTCTTAGGTTTACAGTATAAAAATTGGATTAATTGAAGATTGTAAAGAGAAACAAATTTTTATACTCCATAGAATATCATTCCGTTATCTCATGTACTCTGTGGTGGATTAAAGATGACTGCAAATTCTTTGGCACTCTTTTCCATCGAGGGTCTGTTTGTTCTCCCCTTGAAACTGGCCAGAACTGTGATGTATTTGGATAAAAGAATATGATAGAAATGTTGCTATTCATTATAGATCTAGTCTTTAAGAGCACTGACATCTTCTCATTGGTCTTACAGAGTCTTCAGCTGCCATGAAAGATCTCTGAATACCCTAAGGCTGCCATATTGGTAAAAGCCTAAACTATGCAGAGAGGTCCTGGAGAGTGAGAAACCCTATGGACAGAGTTAGAGAAGACACCACACACACACACACACACACACACACACAGAAACACACCCAGCAAACACAGATGTGTGAGGCACATAAGTGATGGGGACAACTTGGAAGTGGACCCCCATCCTGGCTCCCACCCTGGCCCCAGTCAGCCACCCGAGCTGACATTGCATGGATCTAGGCCCACCATCCAAATGTCTGACACACAAAATTGTGATCAAAATGGAATGGTTGTTTTAAGCCATTAAATTTTAATGAGGCAATAGAGAACCAAAACAAACTCCATTGAGGTCTCCATAATGTTTAACAGTTGAAGAGAGAATTTTTCCTTGAAAACCAGTAAGAGTGCAATAGCATTATAGTCTGTATACTTTTTGCCTCTCTTACCACTGACTATCTTTTGCTTTATGTACTATTTGTATTTTATCTCTCCTTGAAGGTAGAAGTCTGTAGCATTCTCAGCAGTGCCTTTCATGTAGTAAGTACCCAGAAACTTATTGCTTTGTTTGAAGATGTACTGGGGAGTGACACTGGAGAAGGATTAGGAAAGGAAATAGATAGATCACCCCAGCCAACTGTGATATTATCTGACTTCCACAAATTGCAGAATCTTGCACCTTGTGTTATGTCTTCTATTGTTTCCTATGATTGTCTTTTCATTTATGTTTGCTTGTCTCCT